ATATACTTTCATTACGATATTGTTTGCTAAAATATACAGTAGAATTCGGTTATACCGATTCTGCTTATAGCGACGAAAGTTCGATGATTTGGTTGGTTTCCATACAAACTTATATGAAAGGTACTCCAAAAAAATTCAGCAAAAAAATTGTCCCGGCAAGAGTTCTGAAAAATCAGCTACCGATTTCAAAAGAAGAACTATCTAAATATTTTCTTATTCACAAAAGTGTGGCGATTAGGGAGGAACCTTCCGAAGACAACATTGTTAAAAATATATTAGATGACGGACAGGACTTTATACAACTTTTTATGAAAAAAAACATGTTATTGAAATCAATTTAGAAAAAAAAAAATTTTGTTGACTAAAAAATTAATTTGTTTTATTTTAAAACCTCTTACAAACTTAGCAAACATAAAATAAATTTAAAAAAAATTAATTTTTTTGCTTCTTTTGGTTAGAGCGTCTTCCGGGTATAAGTCGGTCCCTTGATTGTCCATTATAAACGGATTCTACTGTAATTTCATTGTCAGAGAGAAAGAATTGTCCATAGAAAAACTCTCTTTTGTTGAATCAATTTTAGAGCTCTATTTAAACGGATTTTACAGATCCAAACTTGAGCTTTCTTGAGGTTTAAAATCAAAAAAATACACCAAAAATATAATATTGGTATTTTATGGTCATATTTTCCCTTATTATTATCTGCTATAAGAAAGCTGATTCAATATCATAGCTCTTCCACAAAGTCTCTCCTACATATTCAATTGTCTTAAAATAAACCCCGAAAAATTAAACAAAATCGGCTAATGTTATATTTTTTAACTTTTGCTAACCCAAGAAAATTTTCCTAATTTTTAAGCATTAAATTAGAAAAACTATCAATATTTTTTGGTTTAAATCAAAACCATTTTTAAGAGTTATCAATGCATAATATTTAAAAATTAATCACATTCAAATATTGCCTCAGGTTATGCTGGAATCGGCTTTTCAATGTTTGGCCGGGAAAACCTTTTATTTTTTGTCACATGGGAATAAATTGGTTTTTTTTTTGCATTATCTAGGATTAGAATTGGGATAAATAGGACTTAAAAGTTAGGTATATTTTCAGAAGAGAAAAGCCGCTTTATTTTGTAATTTTTTCACTTTAAATTTGTACGATTTTGGAGTGCCACATTATGGAAATTCCCATGGAAAAGTTTTGGTTTCCACTATGAGATGTGGTGAGAGAATTTTCCATAGAAATACTCTCATCGAATCGTTTTTGGAACCATTTGAAGCTATTTCTATATGGATTTGCAAGATCAAAACTGTTTCTTGAGGTTTTCAACTCATTTGAATGCGATTTAAGGCATTATATCTATCAGAAAAAGATTCAATCTTGTGTTCAAGTGGATACTTTTACTGAGGACACAATTCTCCTTCGTTCTGTTCGTTCTCGATCAACAAATCAATTGAAGTTCCCGTTTATTGAAGTCATGACCCAAACAAAGTTCGTACAAATCGTGAATGGCGATCACTTAAGATTCTGGAGTCATCAGTTCTTGTGAACAAAGTATGAATATTTCTCCACTTAAAAACTGCTGAAGTGGACAATTTTTGTCGAGAAACAATGCCACATTCCAGTGCAACAATAAACCCTGCATCTGGTTGGTTTATGAAAAAAACTCCCACAATTTTTTGTTGATCTAAACATATTCCATGTTCTATGGGGGAGCTTGGCAGGGGGTTTGCTGGAGCGGAACATTGTCGAAGGCCGAGCGATTTAATGAACATTTCTGGGCTCAGTTGAGGTCATCCGTGGGGACAGACATATCCTAATCAGACTGACGATGGCGGAGGCAGCCGTCCGTATTTGCACATTTTTTGCTGGCACAAAAATTCCACTGCAGAACTGGGGAGGAGATTTTCGATGTTGCACAAGGACACAAAAACAGACAATGGGAGGAGCCCTTCCTTCGGATATTACTGCCATGAAAATTATCTTGTTTGTTTGTTATTTTTTTTTTTGTTGGATATGTTTTTGGGTTTGGTATTTCCAGAAATTTTTGGTTCTGTTTGCCCCAGCAGGCCTGGGCTCTGAATCTGGCTTTGACTCTGGCTTTGGGTCCCGTCTGGGGCTCTGTTCCGTTCGGTTCCTCCTCCTCGATAATACGCAACGCAGCAGCAACAAAAAAATACAGAGAGGAGGAATAAACCAAACGGGAGAGAGCGGGAGAGAGCGGGAGACCAGGAGAGAGTGAATCTGAATACAAATCTCGGCATTTACAATTGTATCTGTGCGGCTAACAAGATACTTTTCAGTTCGAGAGTGCACACACGCCCACCCATCCGCCCACTCTTTTTCAATTGTTCTAATAGTTGGCAACGTGTGGAGGCGCCCCAAAAGGAGGGGAGTGGGCGCTTCATTTGTCCACCTTTGACGAAAATAGTAACAGATTCGAGCGACTAGCGACTAGCGACTACCGACTGGCAGAATGATCTATATTCTGATTGAAATTCGAACAGAAAAAGATAAAGATACAACCGACAGAACTTTTATTTCCAGGCCTCGATGGTTGCCAAAGTATTTTATCGCCAGAGACATTATCGCTTTTGCTTTAGTTTTGAAGTATTTTTTTTTTCTTATCTCGATGGAAATTGTTTAATAGATAAACCATAAAATACATGTATATTGAGGAGTCTGTGAAAGTTGAAGACTTTGTGGATGGTTTGGACTTGGGAATAACCTGCCAAGGAAGACAGAAATTAAGGAACTGAAAGCTCTTAGTCCTCAAATATTCCCTATTATAAAATGGGTTTGATATATTCCTAATTATGTCTTTGGCAAAAGCCATTAAAGATATAACGTCTTAGAACCAGACTTTTTCTTACACAAAATATTTTACAAAAATAACTAAAAACGGTAAAAAACTTTAACTTTATCTTGGTATATCTCCACTTATAGCCTTTGTTTGGTCACAAATTAAAAATCTTATGAAAGGCCAGACATTTCCCTTTGAAAATCATCAATTTTTGTGGATTTTAGAGCTGCAGATTCCCAGTGAAAATTATGAGATACCACAAGGCGGTGTTTTGAATGTTTTTGGGTTAAGTTTCCAGATTCAAAGTATCTACAATCTAATTTTTGGTGTGGTGCCAACTGCAATCCGAAAGATACATTTAATTGCCTTGTGTAATTATTTTGTATTTAATTTTTATAAATAAATGATGACAATTTTGTGTCATTCTGAGCATTACCCTGTTCTAATCTCAATGGAATTTCATGGACACATGGACAAGGGGTATATTTATGACTGTATAAAATTTGAATGGAATATCTCGAGCCAAGCTATATATAGCCTTACGAAAGCCCAAGAAAACGGCAAAAAAAGGTTGACTAACAGACTCCGATCTGTGGCTTTTCCTCTGGCAATGACGAATGCAGCATACCCCTAACACCTGTTGAATACCCTGTAGAAAAAACAATCAATTCAATGGCTTGTGTCCTTGGTTGTGTGCGTGTGTGTGTGCGTGTGTGTGTGTGGGGGTTTTATGAGTAAAAGGCCCATTCTTTTTGGGTGCCCATTGTGCAAATATTTGCACATTCGAATAGTTTTGTTTGCATTTTAGTTCACATTTTGCAAATTACTCTCAGCCCGAAAACCCCTCCCCACCCCCCTTCTTTTGGCCAAAAGCAGAGTGGGTTTGGGGGTGGGGGGAGGGGAGGGGAGGGCAGATCCCCAACGATCTTTGAGGGCTCTTACATATGTACGAGTATTTTGTTGAGTATTTTGTACGAAATTTATTAAAAACAAATCGGATACAATGCCATTGAGATTTAGATATTTTGTTTCTTGGTTTCGTTTTAAATCAGAAAATAAATTTCGGCACACGCACACACACACACAGAGAGATACTCCGACAACATTGTTGATTAAGTTATAAATAAATTGTATTCAGATTCAGATTCACTTGTTTCCCATAGTTAAAAGATTCAGAATCAGATTCATAAATTCACAGAACATTCGTTCCACTGTTTGCAGCACCACGTTGTACGTACACTTTGTTATTTCGATACAATGTAGAGGTGTATTACAATGTTTTGTTGTTTTTTTTTTATTTTCTATTAATAACGATTTTTAATTTAGTTTTACTTTGCCTCTGGCTGGCGCGCTGCTCGCGATCGCACGTTCTGTTTGTGTTTGCGCGCTTCGGGCGAATGTGAGTGTGCGAATGGATTCAGTTCTACCACCCGTAATTGCCAGCGAATCAATTCGAGTCGCCGTCGTGAGGCGCGTCACGCGTGAGGCCCTACAAAAGCAAGATAAAATTGTCTGCTTTGGGCTTAAACGGTTTCTCTTATCGCAAATTACTGTCTTATGTTGGGACTATATGTTTTCTTAACCTTAAAATGTGGTAAACTTTTCACAAAATGCCGCATTTTCTCGATTTGTTTTTGATACTGAAGAAATTTAAATTCAAAACAAACCGCCATATACATTCCTCACTGACACAAGATCACTGCTATACCACTCGCACAACAGATGATCACGAGAGCGTGATGTAGCGTGAGAGAGCATGTCTCTCGCAAAACTCATCCAACGACACGCAAAGCTGAGCGCCCACTCAAAAAACAGCCATAACATCAATAATATATTGTTTTTTTAAATATTTGATATTTTTCCAACAAAAACATCGATATTAAAAGATATTTAGCTCTCACTCGGTGACGCTCTCTGCCACCTTTCAATGTAAGTTTTAGGTAAAGCACATAGGGTATAGAAACTTCCATACTCAATACCCTGCAACCGGCAAATATAAAGTTTCTACTCAAAGAGAGCAATTGATCGAAACTCACAATTGACACGTAAAAATGAGGAGAGAGCGTCTTCAACATTTTGAAGCTCCAGCAACATTTCGACGGCCTTGCCGCCCGCCCCGAAAATCGTGATCGTGAATGAAACATCGGCCGCGAGCAATGAAACAACAAAATACTGTCGATTGCTATTCTGAATTCAGAAAAGTGCGTTAATATACCCCACAAAAAGAAACAACGTGATCGTGAATGAAACATCGGCCCCGCTATCGATATATCCCCACAACAACAACGAGCGGCGTTTTTGACGGTTGAGTTTCTGGTGTGTGTGCGTGTTTCCGTGGAAAACAAAAACAAAACAGCCGCGAAAAGTGTTCAATTGGATTGAAATTGATTTCATTTTCATTTGAAAATCCCCGTAAACGCATGTGCCCGCTAAACCCGCGACAGCCGTGAAAGATCAGCCAAAAGGGCAAAAATTACTTAGTAGTTGATAGATCGCGAAACGCAAAAGCGCGTCAACAATTACAGTTAAACTAGAAGGGTCGCGTCGTCGTCGCCGCCGCCACTCTGCCCCGCCGCCGCCAACAAAACGACGTCATTTTATCATATTTGTGTGAGTGCTTAAATTGTTTAAACAAACACACAAGCAACAAAAGCCGCTGGGCAATAATTCCTCGTGCGTGTTCAACTCTGAAATTGAAATTTAAATACGTATGAAAGAAGGCAGTTATAAAAAAGGGCAACAGCAACAAATTAAATAAAGCTGTGTGTGAAATCGTGTGCAAAGGAAAGAAGTGTGAAAGGAAGAAGAGATCGTGTGAGGAGCGAAAGAGGCAAGATTGGCAAAGAATACGGCATAAGGAAGAAAAGGAAGAGTGCGATAGGAAGCGTGCTCGGTGAATTTTGGTCTAAGGGTTGGTCTGAGAGGGGAACAGTGCGAAAGGAAGCCATAGCGGGGCAGGGTGTAAAAAAGGAAATTAGAATGAACGCCACATAAGGAGCTAGGGAGAACAAAGCTGCCATCGATAAGAAAGCAGTGTTAGGGAAGATTTCTGCCATAAGCTTCAAGCAGTGCAAAACGAGTCCGGGTGTGGGAAGGGTACCAAGGAAAGCAGTGTGAACACCGAAAGTAAGAAATAAAGGAAAAGAATATAACAAAAAGTGCGTTGGATACAAAAATGTGCTCATAGCCCAGAAGTGATCTCAAAGAATTTGAAAGAATCCCATAAAAAAGCCACAAAAACAGAGAGCACAAAAACTTTTTACCGCCAAATGCAGGCCGTGCGCTCATAAAAAAACTCAATTATAATTTAATAACAGTTCAATTTGAGTTTTACGTCAGTGCAGTGAGTGTCGAGTCCCCCTTGCACACGCACGACGCCCCTGTGCAATTTATGTCATTTCGGCAACATTTCCTTGTCGGTCGCTTTTCGGTAGGTTTTTTTCCGTGTGTCCACTGGTATTTTTCGCGGCGTATTGTCTCTGGTAAAAAGTTGCACGCTGTGGTGCGGATAGCAGTGGGGTGTTGTGCTGGTCACCTGGTCAGGAAGTCCGCCTTTTAGTGGAACACGCGCTATCCATCGCATTGTCCAAGGAAAATGGAAAGAGACTGCCAGTGTGTGGCGTTATTCGTTTTTTTGTATTTCTAATTGTACTCGTTTTAGAGGGAATGTGTGCTCCTTGATACCCTGCATGCACTTTGGTTTTACATCCCTTGCCACGCCTCCTATTGCTGCCTCAACTTGCGAAGAACATGTGGGGAAAGATCTACCAATAAGCCACACGAACTGCAAAGCCCTTTGTGCCATTCATTCATAGAGAAAATGATGAAGAAATAAAAGAATCTGAATAGCAGGGTATCCCAAAGTCCGCGCGTGTTTGTGTTAAAGTGTGTTCTAGCCAAAATATCATTTTTCGCCCCTCTTTCAGTCCCCACATTGTGAAGCGTCTTTTTATGAACGTGTCCCCAAATATCGAAAGTGAATGAAATACAAAAATATCAAAAGAAAACAAAAAACCAACAACTCGGATCTTTACAACTGAACGGCGGAGTGCACGGATTTAACCCGCTCCCCAGAGCCATAACAGCAATCAATTTGTAAGTTTTATATTTATCTTTTCATTTTAAACTGCTTTTGTTTTCGGAATACTCATTTGTATTTATCATAACTGCTCTTTTGCCTGCTTCCCTTTTTGGTTTTTGCCTGTTGTTTACCTGTTGCCTGTACTCCTATTTTTATACCCCTCCCCCTCTGGCACACACACACACACGCACATCATCTTACGCTCTCCTCGCTCTGTTTCTGTATCTGTCTCTCTTCCACTCTGTCTGCAGCTCCTGCTCTCATTGTTGAACGGTTATTTCATGCATTGCGCTTTGTGTTGTTGTTTTTAACATTTATTTTGTTTTCGGTTTCGTCTGCCCCGTACACACACATGCACCCACACACTCATGGCATTTACTTTATGTTGTTGTTTTTTTTTCTTATTGTGCAATTCTACATTGGATTTACCTTAGCCCTCGGATCATCATCTTGAACCGAAGGCGTGTTTGTATAGGGTGAGATTTTTCCGCTCTCTCGAGTCGCCGCTCTCATTATCGAACACTCGGGCATGACAATGCATGGGACTATCGGCACGAAGGCTTCACCTTGTAAAAATACACCGCGTTGCGGGCCCTGAATCCTCTCTCACTCTTGCTCTTCCCTCTTTTCCTCTGTGTTTTTTTTTTCGTTTTTCGTTTTCGTTTGTTCCACTTTTATTGCCGTCGCTTCCTTTTTGCATAATTTCGCTGACTCATTGGCATGCTCAGTGTAATTTTCATATTTTTTCGGTTACTGCGCGATCTCCTCTCTCCCTCGTTCTCTCACTCACTCTATGAACTGCTTTGCTTTGGTTTTGTGGTTTCGACCACACACGCACGCACACACGTGCAGGCCACACCACACACACACCTGACTCTGACTTTTTGTGGCTGTGCTTTTCCGTGTAGGTTTTTCATTTTGTTGACATTTTGCCTGTGGCTTTGGACCCGGCTCTCGGGGCTCTCGGCACCGCAGCAGAACGGCACCTGCTCAGGCCTTTTCAGGGTCAACTGGGAGCTGGGAGCACGGAGGCCGACCCAACCCGAGCAACCCCAGAGAATTCTGTTTAATATTGTGTTGGTGGCTGCTAATGAGTGCACTGTGTGTGTGTGTAGTTCAATTAGGGAAATGAGGAGTGGAAATGTTGCAAGTGGCAAGTACTGAAAGATTTATTGGCTCTCGCTTTAAGGGAATTTATTTAGCCTTACCCTTTCTTTGTGCTGCACTCCCCACCCTCGCTTCCAGGAACCTCCGCCCCTGCTCATGCACACAAATGGCACTCATTTGGAGGTACTTCAATCCTCGTGTTCGCCTTTTCTTCATAATAAAAGTAACTAGATTTAAGCACTTGTGTGTGTGTGTGTGTGTGTGTGGGTGTCGTACAACAAGCGCCGTTATTTTAGATACAAAACGACTCATTTAGAGGGAGTGAAAGAGAGAGAGAGGGAGAGCTGTGGATGAGGTGGCGTTTTGCAGGGCGACGCATCGTCGGGGCCAGACGTAATTTGCAAACAAAAAGCCATTAAAATATCAAATTAGCGTCTGGCTTCAGGGGGCCTCTCCGTATACGGATTTAGTTGAAGTCTCCAATTGTCGTTGACGCCGCCGGTTGCTCTCAGCCGCCGTCCCCCTACAGCCTCCCGCAGTAGGCCCGCCTACTGCTCCTCCCCCTTCCCGTTATTGTGCAAAATCGAAAGTAAATGAAATGTGGCACCCACCCGCATGTGTGTTCCGATTCTGTCATCAATTTGTTGATTAACAGTTGTTAGTGTCCCCTGCCTGGCCGTGCCCCCCTTCAAGCCCCCCAAGTCCATCAACTGAGATTCTGATAAAAGTCGCGTGCACATCGTAGTTATCAGTGCGCTCTGCTCTGCAGTTCCCGTTCCCTTTAGTTTCGCTTATCAGCCATTAAGTGAAATTGTTTCTGGTCCGCGAGCAAAACTTTCGTATCCTATAAGTGAGGGGAGTAGTGGGGGGTATATGCGGTGATCGGCAGATCAATAGGGTTATGTTCTAGCGAAAAAAAACCAAAACCAAACTAAAAAACCAAAGGTTATACAAAACTCTAAAGATCTCTTGAAAATGATCGAGATAAGATGATTTTTGCTAGAGATCAGAAATAAGAGGTATGAGCCTGTAACAGAAACAGAATGCTATCACTTTTTTGTACAAAAAAAATGGTTTAATAACATTAATTTTTGATTTGTATGATATAAATTTAAAATAAAAATGAATTTTTAATATTTTATATATAAATAAAAATTTAAGAGCTATTTCTGATATTAGTAAAAATAAATATGATCTCTTTGATATTAATAAGAAAAAAAAAATAAATATTATTTCTGATATTAATAAAAATAAAAAAAATAATATTGTTTCTGATATTAGTAAAAATCAAAAATAAATATTGTTTCTGATATTAATAAAAATAATATAAATAATATTATTTCTGAAATTAGTACAAATAAAAAATAAATGTTATATCTGATATAAATATAATTATTTGAAATTAAATTGTATATCATAATTTTGATTATACAAATAATACGACTTCCTACGGTCCCTTTAACAGTTCTGACTGCAACGGTACCGATTTTAACCGATTACAGGGTATCTTCGAGTAGAGACTATCAAATGCAAAAGCTTCTAGTGGCTTGCTACAGTGCGTTGTTGCTGCTGCTCTTGATAACTGAATTTACATGCCGCATATCATTCCATTTGTTTCACTGTCAAGGCTGTGTGCAATAAGCTGAAATTTGAAACACGTTTTACCTGAAAATAAAACCAAAAACTGAGTCACTGGGTTGAAAGAACTTCGTCGTCGTCGATGCCGTCGTCGGTTCCAGTTGTTGGGGATGATGATGATGATGCGAGTACAAAATGGTTACCCGCCGAATGCAAACGAGGCCCGGCAATCAAATCATTAAAAGCAAATTTATGACGGTCGTCGCACACACACGAAAACCCCTTGCAAACTGTTCTAAAAGTAAAGCTTGACTGCTACCGCCGCTGCTGCGGCTGCGGAGTTATCGCGATCAATGGATCTTTTGGAGTAGCAGAAAAAAAAAACACGCACACGCAGGCAGAACAGAGAGACAGACAAACAGACAGATAGAGCGGGAGAGAGAGACGCATATCGTGCTCCATATTTGGATAAGCCCTCTGTTCTCTGTTCGCTCTCTTGTTCTCCCTCTCTTTCGTTCTTCCTTTTGCCGACTGATCTGGAGCCACGCTTGCGGATCGGCCTGTGTGCTGTTTGTGGTGTAGCCTTCCCCTTCCTTCGCTAGTTATACCCGCGAAACGCGTTTCATAAATTATCAAGTTGAATGCCCAGTTTCGAAAATTCAACCGGGCCCGCCTGACCTTGAGCGCACAATTTTCGGTGTTTTTGCTTTTGCTTTTGCTTTTGTGGTGTGTATCTACAGATATGTACATGTTCACACATACAGTCGAGCTTCGCTAATTGCGACTACCATTTGTCGCTTAACAAATTCGGAGAATTTTAAACACCACATTTCACACTTGATTTGAAATGTTTTACTTTTTAGGAAGCCAGCAGTGGAAAAACACGCCACCAAACCGAGGTCTATGCGATAGGAAAGCCATAGAAAAAGAAAATTGCCTTAGAAAACTGAGAGAACACGCTATAGAAAGAGTTACATATAATATCTAAAAAAAAAAAGATTATACTTTCATGCATTACCGAGAGATCTATCTATCTATATCTCTTCTAGAGTTATGCCTGTTCTAATGCCTCAAATTTCTACTCAATTCCATCCCCTACAAGGCTTCACTGTACTCGTCTGATGTTTGATTGCTTTGAGCTTCGTTTTGTTCTCTTCTGGTTTCTTCATTTTCCTTCCACGCTCTGTGCTTCGAGGCCTGGCAACTATCTCGATCTCCCTCGCTCTCTCTCTCGCCTATGGCCAATGCCAGGGGTAGGGGACTTGGCATCCAAAAAACAACAAAAAGACCTTTAGGCACAAGTGCGCAAAGTCTTTTCGCTTTGGTTAATTAACGCAGCCATACAAATTAACTAACGCACATGCGTAACCCAACGACAAACTACAATTTGGCGCTCCATGGCTGGCGGAGATTGTCCGCTTCCATAATGATTAATGATGATGCTCCCCCCGCTCCATTATGGCTTTACTCTTTGAACTTGGCTCTAACGAAAAGTGCGTGTTGGGTAAATGAAACCGGTTCGGGCCCTTGAATTTGGCAATCCAAAATAAATGAAGGAAAAATGAGCATACCTCTAGTCAAAAAAAACCACAAAAAAACGGTGGGAAAGGGAAGGTCAAGTTGATTAGGATTGATGGTAGATGTACCTCTAACCAAACTACATCTGTATCTGTATCTATAGCGTGTGGGAAACACTGTGGGAAGACAAGTTATGGAATTCTCTTTCCAGAAGAGAAGACAAGAAATTAATTTTGTAATTTCTTGGAATTACGTTTTGAAAATACTACAGTATAAAGTACTATTTTTATTGTAAGAAATAATGCAATAGATTCACGTTTATACAAATTGTCCAATCTTATAGAAAATTTATTAATTTATCGGATACAATTATTTTTCGTTTAAAAAACGCGGAAAAAGCTCTTGAAACAGCTGTAAACTGTACATCATACACATATCTCCCTGAAGACGATTTTTTTAAACAAAATTTTAAAATTTCAAAAAAAATTTTTAAATATTTTTTTATTAACATTTGTATTACTTTTTATTAACATATATTTTTGTTATTGTATATTTTAAAGCGGGTTTGAATCGGTTTTAAATCGAGTGCAAATTGGTGTTAATGGGTTTTCAAAAATTAAAATGTTAATGAAAAAAAGTTTTTACTAAAGATAATTTTTTGTTCGTTTTTGTTTTTATTTTTTTAAATTTTCTTATATTTCATAAGAGATTACGAAGCAGTTATTAATCGGATATGAATAGGGTGTAAAATGGGTGTTAATGGTTAAAAAAAATAATAATTTTGCGAGAAAAAAACTCAATATATTATCTAAATTTTAGAATGATGCCCCCTCCCTAAGATTTCACACTCTCTCCTAATGTTTATAAAGTTTTCCAATTAATTTCGACCTGCTATATATTCTAACTCAATTTCACAGCAGAAACTTTTCCATTATATTGAGAAAAACAATTTTTATTGATTTTTCCGCTGTGGAAAATCGTAAAACATGAAAGCTAATCAATATACGCCCGCACTGCTAAAAATGGAATAAAAATCATATAGGAAAATACCCAGACAGAGAGCGGGAGAGAGAGAGAGAGAGAGAGTGAAGCATCATCATTATCTGCCTCATTTGGGGGATTGGTGGAGGGTACGCATTCCCCCTAAATATTTATTGATATTCGGACATGATCGATCAGTTTTTGTTTGGGTTTCGTGTGCGCTCGCTTTTGTGGGAGAGTGTAAAATTGAGGCAATTTGTTAAGGTGTTGATGGGTGCATGCAAATGAACTGCTGCCACACGAGGATGATGATGATTGGGGCCTGTCACATTATGAGGCCTTGTGTGTGTGTGTGGCATGCCCCCACATGCCATAGAGAAGATTTGCCGCATAATAGACCGCTCAAATGGCCCACAAAATGATGGACACATCAATTGAGTCTCACCCGCTATGCTATGAGGCGATCTTTGTGTCCCACCCACCCCCTACCCCCTTCCACCATGGCGGGATTCACTCTTTAAATTGTATTTATTATTTTTTATCAGACTGCACGTATATGTCAAACATAAGCTTTGACAACTTAAATACCGCACGAGACACACAGATACATAGATACAAAGATACAATGCGCTGTGTGTACGTGTCTGTGTTTGCCGTTTGATTGATAAGAAAGTGAGGCAGTGACAGCTGTTCCGAGGACACGGCTGCCGCCGCATGGCAATGCTTCCACTTCTTTTTTTCTTCGGCGGCCAAACGAGTCGTGAGGAAGGGTTGAACTCTCATGTGTGTGCGTGTGTGTGTGTGTGTGTGTGTGTGTGTGTGTGTCTGTGTGTTGTGTACGCAATTAGGGTTGCATTTGCCGGTTTAACCGGGCCCTGGGACGGGTGTCAATGTCAAGGGGCGACTGCCAGGGGCAGGAGAAGAAGTGTCAAGAGTCCGTGTGAGATATGGAGGACCTTTGGGAATAAAGTATCCTTTATGCATTCAAACGCATCGTGGAGTCTTCGCAATAAAAACCCAAAACTCTCTGGCGGGATTTGGGTTTTTTGTGGCATTTGCAACAGATTGTCCAAATAATCCCTAAGCAAATGGATACATCGGTTAAAGAAAAGGAAATGAAATCACAAAAGTATATTTATTTTTGGGCTATAATGTCTATAAATGGGAATTTTACATTATTATAGGTAAAACGAACAAGAACAAGCATTAATACGATTTTCGAGAGGAATTACAGTCCCTTATGGTGTGGAGTTTTCGAAAAAACATGTTTTATTATTTTAGCACTAGCTTAAAGTACAGTTTTAGATTTTTAAATCGAGTTTTAGTCGTGTTTTTTTAGATGCGGCTCGCAGATGAGATCTCATAGAGGTCTCGGAAGTAGCAGTTTTGGTTCGGTTTTTTATGTTTTTGCCATAATTTGACCCGTTCTTTGTGAAATCACTCAGAACACACATAGTTTTACCAATTTTATGACATATTTCATTATTAATGGACCCACTTCCTTCGAGGATTTTATTGTCGACTTTTCATTCTTTGAAAAGGACTAACCACAACCCAAACTTTTCAAATTCACTGTTTTCTTTGGCTTGTGCCGGAAATATTGGTGCCTAAAGTGCACATTTTAGTGTGTCGTATTCAAGTGTCGGGGAGTGTATTTATGTATACGTGTTAGAGAAGGACAGCAGACTCTGGCGGCTCCTGTTCTTGCGCTTTTTGTTTATTGCAATTGTCTTATCTCTTGATCTTCGTTTCATCAACGAAGCATATTGCTCCTCTCACGCACTAAAAGCCCACGCAATGGCTTCGTTCTTTTGTTCTCTCAGCAGCAGCAACAACAACCATGCGAACGCAGAGGAGTTTCACTTTGTTGTTGCTGTTTTCTGTCACCCGATCGTCGTTTCAGGAGCTTCGGCTGCTGCTCGCATGCATTTGCTTGCCATTCAATCGCTCTCGAAGCAACAAAAACAACTGCCTGACGCGACTCTCGCTGCCAAGCTTCGCTCTCAGCAGAAAACGAACCAAGGAAGACTGGAACACAACGGGACTCTGCTTTAACGCGTGTTTTTTGTCTTTATTTGGATATTCGACACTGCGTGGATTGTGGGAATTACCTAAAATAATCATTAAATTGAAGCCAAAGCACTTGGATATCTTAAAGCACTTTCATCTGAAAATATATGTATGCAAGGAGCGCTCTATCGGGCAATCGATTTGATTACACTCTCAGGGACCCCTCGCGCCCCGCCTCTAATCAACTCTTTTGTGCACACATCCATCAGTATAATAATCAAACAAAACAAAAACAAAAACAAAAACAACTTTGGATAAACAAATGGAAATCATTCGATAAATAAACACTAAAATGCATTCTCCTGTTCAAACACGATATCCCCCTTCTGTACATACAAATAATACATATAAAAGTACATATATATATATGTATATAGTATATAGAATATTTATTCTATTTTATGCGCTTGCTGTTGTTGTGGCTGTGTTCTACATTCTTTTTTATTCCTTTTTTTGGTTCGTTTATTATTTCATTTATTTATTTTCCTCCCACCATATAACGTATGTATGTATGTATTCGTTTCGTACTACTTTTGACTCTCTCTATCCCACTACCCCACTATTGTTGCTGTCTCTGTCTACTGCATATCTCTGTCTCTGTCTCTGTCCTCCTCAGTCTGTTGTTTGTTTTTGCACCCTGTCTCTGGGCCGTCTGCCGTCCTGCCTGGCAGTCTGTGCGCTATTTCGAAATGTTTTCTAAACATTTATACAATAATTTTTAATGCCATTTTTCACAATCAAAAATATTTTCTATAAATATATGCACTAAAGCACACACGGAGACTCTATAAATATCTGCGCTGCTGCCGCACTGCTGCTTGGATAAACTTTTATTTTATGGATATTTTTCCCACTTTCCATTTTTCCCCATTTTCCCCATTAAAGTGCATTTTTCACCTAATTTTCCTGTGGCGGCGGCGGCGGCGGCGGCTCGTGTCACACACACACACACACAAACACACAAACACGCAGTTTTCCTAAACAAAAACTTTTCCCATAAAAAGTCAAAGTCTTTTCCTGTTTCTGTCTGTCTATCTATCAATCCCCTGTTTCTCTCTCTATCTATCCCCCTGTTTCTATCTCTATCTTCTGTCTGTTGCTAGCTTTGCCATGATCATGCCTGGCATTATCAATATATACTATATATATAGTACGTGTATGTGTATATATATATAACCCCGATCTATCCCGAAGATATATTGATATAAACAATAACCTGTTGTCTCATATCGGAATTGTTTTTCTGTTCTCTTTCTCGACTCTTGCAGGCACCACCCCCGCAACCACAGCACCGCCGCCACCGCCGCGTACGTGGGTCGTGTGCAGTGCGAAAGAAAGTCTCTCTCTATTTAGTAGCCTCTTCGACAGCGCCTAAGATATACAGAAGATACAGATATACGTATCCGTAGTGTTTGTGTAGTATTTGTATTTGAGAAATAATCAAAAAGATATAAAGTCTTATTTGTTGAGACCGAATGTGACACCCGAGAGAAATCTTAATCCCCGAGCCTTTGGGCGAATGTCAAATGCAAATTTATTAGAGTGCAATCTCCCCTCGACTCTCCCGCTCTCCCTGACCGGCGAAATTAATATCTTTGTAGGCTATAAATTTCACATAAATAACACCCGAATCGAAAGGAAAACGGAAATCCAGAATACATCTATAAATAAACCCATTCGGACCAGAGTGTTTTCTATTTTAAGTTGTTTCCTAATTTCCATTTGTGTGTCCGTGCCCGTGCCCGTACCCGTACCCGTACCCGTACCCGTACCCGTACCCGTACCCGTACCCGTGCTCTTGTGCTTCGATTTTCCGGTAGTAGAGTAATCGTTTATCGTTTATCGTTGTTATCGAGCAGCAACAATCGTTTATCGCGGCAGCGCCAGCGCTGAAAGCGGCCCCACATGCGTGGGCTCCTCTAAATTGGGTGAGTAAATCATCTCTGGCAAAAGTCTTATCACATAAAACGCTATACACAACACACACTCGTGTTCACGGATATATCGGATGTTCCCTTTTATTTTAAGGGGGGTGGGGTGGGTTATGGGGGGCCTAAATCGTCTCATAAATTCATCCATGCATTTCCTAGAGCTTCCTTTCAGCCACTGCTTTGTGGCAGTTATTAAAAAATATTTCTTGTTTGCTCAGCGCATACAGTGCCGATCGGAGTTGTAAGGCAGTTGAGCGTAGGAAACGCAAATAAATATGCATAAATATTTCAATTAAAACTGGAAACAGAGTGAGGCGTGAGGACTACAGTGAGGCGTCCTTTTGCAAGATAGTTATCTCTGAAGATAGCTACGAAAATCAGTGCACCTTTCATCGATTCTCTTTTTGTACTCTTTCGTTGTGAGATATATATATTATTATATATTATTATTATATATATTATTACTTTTTATTATCTCATTTTTTAATTTGTTTCAAATTAAGTTTTTAATTATAAAATAATTATCCACTTAATTAACTTTTTTTTTAAACTAAAAATGTAATTTCGATTTTTTTTTTGTAATTTATTTGAAATTAATATTGGTATCATTTAATTTATTCGAAATTAAATTTTGTCTTCTTAAACTTATCCTTAATTACATTTTGTATTTATTTATTTTTTCATTTTTAATTTTTTTATATTTATTTTAAGTTAATTATTTTTTTAAATTTAATCTAAAATAAATTTTTTATTTATTTTTAATTTTATTCAAAATTAAATTAATTTTTAAAAATTTTTCTAAATTTATTCATTTTAATTTTCTTTAAAATTAATTTGAAAATTTTTTGGAACAATTTTTTTTCCACATTTTTTGTTTTGAATATTATTTTTCCTTATTATTTCCACATTTTTTTAGAATAATTTTATTATTTTAAAAAATGTTTACTTATTAAATTAAAATTTTTCGTTATGTTAAATTATTTTAATTTAAAATTTGTAATAACAAATTTTGTTTTGTATTCTCTAGTCTATTATACTTTTTAATATATAATTTACCTAATTAACACATTTTTTAATATCATTTTATTAGGTATGCTTTATTCCCATTCCCATTCTGTCTGTATTTTTGTCGTAAGTGAATAATGGACTAGATCTGATTGAACACTGACTCAAGTAGATATCTATCCACTCCTATAGCCATGAAACGCAGTTTAGAATTCAAAAGTTTCGCCTTCGTTGGCCATGCAAAAGTGCGTTGACGTTCACTTGGCTTCCTCCACTCGACTCTTTATATGCTCGTATTTTGTTCCATCTTTTTTCATTTGATTCCTGCACTGCATATCATTTATACGCAGACGTCAGACCGACAGACAGTTCGACCTCCTTTGCATGCTAAGCAGAGGTTGTCTGCTGCCTGCTTCTGGAATTTAAAGAGGTGGTTCGTTCCGTGCAAGCTGCTTGCTTAGCGACACCCACATCGTTATTACCACTCTCCAAGAGGCCCTCTCTCTGTCTCTGGCCCTGTCCTTGTCCCTTGTCTATGGCCATGGAATGGGGCAACAGCTGCTGGCTGCACTTGAAGTTTGTCTTACAATTGCAATTTCAATTGCATTTCGGTGGTTGCGTGAGCTCCCTGTCAAAATGTGCTTGTAATTGACTTTGTGGGGAGGCAACGCAATGTTGCAGCGACTGGGAGTACAAGTAAATGGAGATTCCTTTCCTTTAAAAGATAAAGAGTTGAAAGATGACCCAGGAAATGGAAACTTGGGAGAGTTTTGAATAGGGAATTGGTAGGGAATTAGGGAAAAAGAGGCAGAATGAATCTCAAATAAACGGAAACATGACAATGGAGATTGTTTACTCCTAAGAGAGTTCTTCTTTAACTACTTTTAACTATATGATCTGTTTAATAGTGTTCTATAGCTCTTCTATAGGCCATCCCGGGACACTGGCGGATTGCCAGTCACGTCTCAGGACTGTCAATCCCTCACAATAACTTCTGCAGGAGCTGTCGTGATAAATAAAAGAGGAGGAATCGGTCCTCCATTTCTTCTGGCACTGCCCGACCCTGGAAAATCCTAGACTTCGGCTTCTGGGAGCCCCTTTTCTCACCGACAAACCAGGGATCTTGCCGAAATTCATTCAAGTCTCCGCTTGGGACTGTCCTTAATCTGCACTAGTTGGCTCTCCCCGGTCTAGGCAGTGAGAAGGGGCACCACAATGGACCTTTAACAGGTGCGAGAGGGCTAGCTGGAGGTTCATCCCCTCTCCCCAGCTACCGCCATAATCAATCCCAGGTTTCCTTGATTATTCCAGGGAAATGTTAAGTTTATTCTTTGTTTTTTTTCTGCGGAACTATTTATGGAAATTCTATAAGCTTTTCCGAGTAGTAATTGATTGAAACATACTCTTGGATCGATTAAAGTCAGGTCTTAAATTAATTTTAGGAAATGTGTATTATCTATGCTTCCTGGAATCTTTTTAGCTGTGAAAACTCCAGAGCTCCAACTGCTTCATAGGAATAAATATCCAGTTGATTGTTTAGCTTGAAATTAAACAAAAATTCATGATGCATAATTCTCTGACATAATCATAAAATGCCACTCAATCATCCGTCCACTTCGCGATGCAGCAAACGTTTCAAATTTCATTTCAGTGGAAATTTTAGCTGCAAAACAGTTCCCCCCCCCCCCCCCCCCCCCCATAAAAAAACGCAGATCTCTATGTATATGTATCTATATGCTCATGTATCTTGTAGCTTGATACCATTTTTATGTATTTATTTATTTGTTTTTGCTTTCAAATGCACTTCAACGCAAACGCAAAAAAAAACCCCCGAGGCGGAACCCGAAGAAAAAAAACCAACAACAACAACAGAAACCACAAGAATTTTGTCGCTCTGTCAACAAAGTTTTTGTTGTGTTTTTTGGTTTTTTATTTTTTGTTTTTTGTTTTTTGTGGCCACTGTGGCTTTTGGTTTGTTGTTTTTGCTGCTTTTCTGGCTAAAAATCTGACGCGATATTTATATGTATTTATTTTTCTGGAGCAACAGAAAAACTTTAGTCGAATGAATTTTTGGCGAGTTTTGCTGCAACAGCAGCATCTCATGGATCGGATCTGTGCTCCCACGCGGCTCCCGTTTCCCCATTGCGATGGCACTACTTGGAACAGCCCTCTCGAGTGTGGCACAGGGACTGGAACTAGAGCCATGGGAAATGTGTGGAGTCGAGGGGCAGGGAAGGAGTTTCGGGGCACTAGAACTATGGAAATGTGTGGGGAAAGGGGAAGGGGCAGGGGGGGGGGGGGGTCTGTCAGCGGTTCTAAGTGCATTTGGACATTAGCCCCCAAAACGAGACGAAAATCTCACTCGGACTGGCTTTTGCTCTGCCTTTTTCCTAGGCAATTTGCCTTAAAATTTATTTCAATTGCTCTTAAACGAAATAAACTGTTGTACTGCTCCGCCGCTCCACACGTTGTGGGTGTCAGCGACAACGAGACGACATCATCACCTTAGAACAAGTCATTAGAAATGCGGTGGTTGCCGGCCCGCCCACGCACGCACCAGGCCAAGCATTGGGCCAATTTGCCCCCAGAGTTTATATGAATATGAAATATTAATGTACACACGAGTGCGGCATGCAGACATGCAACGAGTGAAGCGCTTACATAGGGAATAAGGAAACACTCAAAGCCTCTCCCGAGCACAAAATATTACATTGATTTATGGTCTAGGGGATGGAAGAACTACTAGCACCACGGTTTTGTCTACATTCGCAGATGATTCTCGGTTTTACCTTTGGGATACTGCTAAAAAATATATAGCTGATTTAATATTTTCAAGCGTATTTATTGATATATTCAAATATTTTCCATATCTTTTTTGGTGTAGAAATCAAACGCAGGTTTCTAAATCGATAAAATTTTGTTTCTAAGCGAATTTGAAAGCAGTTTAAATGATAAATTATCGATACAAAGCTATAAAATTGCATTAAAATCGATTTATTATCGATAAAATCAATAACCGTTAATCTATAACATCGATAAAATATTAATTACTTTATAAAAATTAGTTGAAGTTAATTTAAAAATAATCGAAACGATAAATTATCGATAAAAAGGTACAAATTTCGATACAAATCGCGTAATTATCGATAACAGCTATAATTGGAGTTTTGCGTTATTTAAATTTTACGAATTTAAACAAAACTTTAAGTAGGAACGAATCGTGTAAGTTTGGTAGACAATTTGGTCGATACTTATCGAAAAATTCGATATTAAAAAATTCGATTATAAATCGATTAATTTTCGATAATTATTTCAATTAACGCATCATTCCACCCTGCACTTTTTGTATAAAATAAAATAAACTAATGTTCCAGGCCACTTGGCTGGTTGGTTCCACCAAATGCGGCACCACTGTGCACTTATGTAAGTGCTAATGCCACTTGGCAGCTGCTGCTCCCAAAAAACTATCGGCAATAAAATCAGTAAACTTTTATGCAACAAATTAGCAGAACAGCCGCTGTCCCTCCGTCCCCACGGCCTGCTGCAAAGAGTGCGGCCACGGCCACCTGTTGGGTGGCGTCTCCTTGGTCCAACACTTGGCCCGTAAGGATATCATTAAATTTCACTTAAGCCGTTCCTCGAGTAGGAGCCCCCGAAAAACTCCACAGACAACGACAACAGCGCGACGACAAGGAGCTTCAGCAGCAGTTGGCGCTGCGGTGGGGGGGGGGAACGGAGGCTGTGGCAACGAGGCAACGTCCAAGTTGCAAAATCTCCAGATGGAGCGTCGAGCAAGTGCCAAAAAAGTGGTTTGGTTTTCGTCTTTGTTTCGCTTTTGCCTCCTGCCTGCACCCGTGCCCCACCCCGCCGTCCCCCGCCCCCCTCTCTCCGTGTGCCTCGCGTCTGTGTCTGGGTGCCTCCTTGTGCTGCGTGCGAGTTGTTGCACTTTGCGCTTTCGACCCACATTTGTCTTTGGTTTGCATTTTTGTCGAGGATTGGCATCCATCCGCCTGCCTCCATCTGCCCCGCCGTCTGGCGTGTCTCCGTCCCCTCGCAGTGTGTGTGTGTGTCTGTGTGTGTGTTTGTTGCGCATTTCCTTGTACAATTTTCCTTCTTGTTGTTTTTGTTGTGGCATGGAATTTGGCTCTTTTATGCATTGCATTCAATCTTGGTGCTGTGTTAGCCGCTTCTTCATGGGATGTGTTGCATGCGGCATGCTGCTGCTGCTGCTGCTGCTGCTGCTGTTGTTGTGGTTGCTGCATCTTGGAGTCGCTTGTGTACTGTTGCATCTCCTCGAGGAGCTATATTACGGCTGTTGTTGCTTGTGGGGCGCCTCTCTGGCCCTGGCTTGAATATTTCTGTTCTGCGGTTGCTCCTGGCCATAAACTGATGCTCATGTTGCCTCATCCACTGCTCTTGTTGCTGCTGTCTGCCTGCCTGCCTGCCTGCCTGCCTGCCTGTCCTTCCTGTGTGGCAGGCAGGACTCTCTACTCTACTCAGTGGCACTTTTAAATGAAGTTTAAGCTCTTTCTTCTTCTCTTTCTTTCCATAATGCACTGCCTTTCGGTCAAGGAGTCTGTGCCACTGTGTGTGTTGCATGTGGGGGCTAAAAGTGTTGCCGGAAAATGCCAAAAATCTCATCCCAAATATTCCTGACATGTTTAAAACCAAAATCCTTAGATTGTGGAATAGTTTGCCGTTCTTTAAGCTCCGGCTATAAGGGAATTTTTCCTCGATATTTGATATATTTCCTTTCTTCATTGCAACATTTTGTTGCATCTGGCATTTATTTGGTATTTTTTTTTTGATTTTTTACTTTTAATTAAATTTATTTCATTTTATTTAAATTTTTTTTTTTTTTTTTTTGCAAATAAATGAAATTTCTAGCGACGGGCCGACGGGTTTTTTCTCAGAGAGATCATTTCTTGGTCTGCTGACAAGATTTCAATTTGACTTATGGCCGCCCGTCGCCTAACACGATGGAAACCGTGTCCCCTCCGCCCCTCCTTCCCTCCGTCCGTCCCTCCGTCCGTCCGTCCTCTCGTCGTCTGTCGTCGCATTTCCCTACGAGAGCTATCGTATCTGACGGATTGCCTAGCATGCAGGCGATGGCACAGCTAACACATGTTTTAGCTAAATAATTGAGATTGTTGGCATTGCATGCGCCCCAAGACCCAGTCCGCAGTCTCCAATCCCCAATCCCCAATCCCCACCAAGTATCTTTCGATTATCTGGCATTCTTCTCATCCTCTCGGATGTCATCCAAAATTGGGCATCATGCCAGCCAGCCAGCCAGCCAGCCAGCAGCCAGGCGCAGGGCCACTTTCTTCACTTTCTTTCTCCTTCCCTGCTGTCTCCTTGCACTCTACTGCGGTTTCTTCCATGACGAAGCGAGAGATGTGTACGAAATCAAATATGTTCATAATTTGTTCAAATAAACAGCAAAATTCATAGTACGATAAATATTTACACGCACAAACAGACGACAGAAGGCGGGCTACTGTTGGAAGTGGCTTCGGTTTGGTTGTGTCTTTGGATACCCTTGCAGAGGAGGGCACTATTATTTGAAGGAGAAGCTGGAAATTCGTAAAAAAGTCAGTTTGTTGCCCTGTAAACTATGGAGCAGTGGAAAAGTCACCTTGGCTGATGGGTTATTTGTGGTTTCTGATTTTGTAGGACTCTCAATGCTCTGGTCTTGAAATCGAAGTCCTTCTCCCCCTTTCTTTTTCGATTTCCTTCTCCGTTGTTATCCTTAAAAAATAAATAATAAATAAATAAATAATAAATAAATAAATAATAAATAAATAATAAATAAATAATAAATAATAAATAAATAAATAATAAATAAATAAATAATAAATAAATAATAAATAATAATAGATACATAATAAATAAAAATAATTAAAATAAATAGTAAATAAAATAACAAATAAAATAACTAAATACAATAAAATAAATAAAATAAATAAATAACAAATAAAAGAAATAAATAACAAATAAAATAAATAAATAACAAATAAAATAAATAATAAATAAAATAAATAATAAATAAAATAAATAATAAATAAAATAAATAATAAATAAAATAAATAATAATAAAATAAATAATAAATAAATAATTAATGAATAAATAAAATAAATAAAGTACGATTGTTAGCGTATAGAATATTCGCTTCAAACCTACATAGATTCTTGGAACCTATCGGTATTTTTTTTCTCTGATTTTTTTTTGTTTAGTTGTGGGTTGAAGTTTTTTCTATGTTTATCTCTGTCTCTGCACTTAAGCAGACAATGAACCGGCGCTAAGAAGGCATCAGAATGATGATGACATCAGCTGTCCGTCGGTCACCCACGTAGCATATGCTGTCCCTCTCTCTCCCTCTAGCCAGTGGCTTTCCCTGTCACACCCGTAATCGTAGGACAGATTTTTATCAATTTCATAAATTATGATTCCAGGCAACTTTGTTGCCCCGCTCATTAGGTCGTAAAAATCAATAAAACATCAGGCGCACAGATTTTAAGTGTGCCATTTAGCAGCGAAAGATTGAAGTGAAAGAGAGTGAGAAAGATATAGCGAATGTTTTAGATAAAGATGGTTATACTATGTGCATGTGTGCGTGTGTGTGTGTTGCATGGTCTTTTTGTTTGCTGTTTGGCCCACAACAAGCGGGGCTAAGGTGAATAACAACAAATTAGATAAGCGATTTATTAGCCAGAGCGAGAGATACGAGATACGAGGCACAGAACCAGACACACGATTACAGAACTAGCAGATACATTTGTATCTATGGGTGTGTGTGCTATGCAAATTACCTTTTGCCGACATACAGAGATTTCTGTTTGCCGAGAGTTTTGTAATTTACTGTAAAGAGTCGTGTGAATAAATTTGTTGCTTTTGCTCGTTTGATTATGTTTTCGTGAATCATCTTATCGGAGCAGCCATGAATGGACGGTTGGAGGCCATGTGAATGGGAATCTATTTTTGGGCATAGATACTGCAGGGAAAGCACTTGGGGAAGGAATCACTAAAAAAGGCAGATTATAATGGGAACGGAATGGGCCAACATAATTAATTTATAATTATTATAATTAATTTATAATTTATAATGACTCTATAAAATAGAACCCCAGGAATTTTCTTGGATTTATTGTGAGATTTTAATACAAATTATTTGTATTAGCATTGTGTTGACGTTTATTTATTTCTTAAAGTTTTTAATTGTGTTTGGGCCTAAGAATTTGTCCATCATTTCTTTTTATATCCACTTTAAACTGGTTTAAAGTCTTTAAAACATTTTAATGATCGTAACGGGAGTGTAGGGACTATAATTTGTATAGTAAAAAATTATGAAATACAAATTTTATTTATGATTTGTATTTTTAATATCAGAAATAATTCATAGTTTTATTTATTAAATTTTTATATTAAAAACTGAAATATGTTTTTATTTTCAAATTTAAAAAAAACGATTTTAATATAAAAATTAAATAGTACAGCCGAACTTTTCTATTACGAAATTCCATACAACGAAGTTTTCTATATATTGAATTTATTTCCAGAACACTGCAATGTTCTATGTTCCTGCAAACAATTCTATACTAAGAGTTTTCGGTATTACGTTTCGGTTTTCGGTATTACGTTTCGGTTTTCGGTATTACGTTTCGGTTTTCGGTATTACGTTTCCCCTTGAGATTCGTTGTATGGAAGTTAGACTGCAGTTATAAGACCATTTATTAAAAAAAAAAAAATGCTTTTATTATTGGTTTATCTTGCTCTGGGATACCTCTTGTAAAAATAGGTCACTTTTTTTTCCTTGATTTTTTTCTTATATTTTTTATTTCTGATTTGCGACTTTGAATTGGATTGGAATAGCTTGAAATTGTATTGTAAAATTCTTGGAACCTACATAATATATGATTCAAATATGACTTAAATATACTAGATGATGATGGTTTCTTTTTTTAATCTCCCGAAAAGTACTTAAAAATACACGCATGTATCTTTTAATCCAATCAATCGATTCTGCTTACTTATTTACATTCCTGCTTTAATTTATTTAGTCTGAATTTTTTTTTCTCATCAGTTTCTCTTTTATCACATTAATTTGTGCTGTGTTGTGTTTGCTTTCGCTTAAAAAAGAATGTTTCAGCCTCCAACTTTTGTATATTTACACGTTTCGAATAAGGAGAGAGAGATAGAGAGAGATAGAGAGAGAGAGAGAGGGAATCGAGTACAAGACCGAATGAACAAAGGAAAATAAACAGTGCTGTGTAAATAAGGTCAGAAAATGTACAAAAAGTTTGCCAATTGCTGATGCTGCTGCCGCTGGAAGCGGAAGTATCTCTGATCTCTCTCGGGTTCTGTCTGCCTCTGCCCGCTCTATTTCTGTCCCTTTCTTCTCTTTCCTTAAACCATAAAGTACTTAGTTTTATAAAATAGTTTTAGGATATCCTTTATTTGTGCCCGTATCCAAAAAAAAAAAACCATCAAAAAACATTGTTCTCCTTTGCTCTTATTATTTTTCGTTTTAGGTAAATTTTGTTCTTGTTTTGTGGTTGGTCTAGGGCCCCCACCCCAGACACACTTGTTAGCATGAATATGAGTCAAGCTGTAAGTCCATACAAAATTCTCATATTTATTATTGTAACTATTGTAGAACAAGAAAAGCCTATAAAATGAACAACAGTTGAAAACACATCTGCATACACATGTATAATTTCTGGAAAATATGTCTAGTGAAGGGTATCTGAAAGTCGTTAAGTCAGAAATTCGCAGGGAATATCCAAACAAAGACAGAAACTATGCAGCAAAGCGGAGTCCCGTTGCGTTCCGTTCTTCCTTGGTTCGTTTTCTGCTGAGAGCGAAGCTTGGCAGCGAGAGTCGCGTCAGGCAGTTGTTTTTGTTGCTGAGCGAGCGATTGAATGGCAAGCAAAGGCATGCGAGCAGCAGCCGAAGCTGAAGTACAGAAAGCAGCACCAACAAAGTGAAACTCCGCTGCGCTCGCATGGTTGTTGCTGCTGCTGCTGCTGCTGAGAGAGCGATGCAAGAAATTGCCGAGAGAGCAAGAGAACGAAGCCATTGCGAGGGCTTTTAGTGCGTGAGAGGAGCAATGCTTGCTGATGAAACGAAGATCAAGAGATAAGACTGCACGGCGCGGAGCAGCCTTTTGCTTTTAGAATTATGCAAAAAGAGAGGGGAAGATGCTGGAAAAGAGTAAAGCAGACAGCGTGCCGCCGTGTTCTAAGGCGTCAAACGAATGCAGATTTTCCGTGTACAGCCTTTTAGTTCCTTTTAGTGCTACTCCTGTGTAGATTTAAGAGCCGTCCGAAACTCGAGTGTCAATGCAAACAATTTTACAAATGCACAAAAATGTACAAATAGTTTAAACATTTGTTTGGCAGACAAAACAGAACAAAACAACAAAAAAAAATGGGTATATAAATGTTATTGGTTCCGTCTGGGTAGCCGTCTGTTCGCTTTTCCCCTAAAATGTCCGAATGATTTTCATGGCAAAAGTCTCGTCAAATGTTGGCTGCTGCCAGCCTCGGAGCGAGAGAGAGAGAGAGAGAGAGAGGTAGAGATATGCTAGAGATATTTGTATTTTATTTCGATTTGATTTTGCTTTCCCTGTTGTTGCTGCCTCTGCTCCTGCCTGCCTGCTGCTGCAATTGAATTGCAAATATTTGCGCTACAATTTCTCAGCGTGCCATAGATAAATAAATGAATTTTCGATTGTATTTTATTAACAGTAAATAAAGTTTCAATTTCTCACACACCAGCGCACACACCAGCAGACTCTCTGTGTTCATTAGATGAAATGCGCCTGCCGAAAACCCAAAAGAATTCCCTGTATTTTCTGGCTATATCTTTTGTGCATTCCCCAAAAACTAAAGAAACTAACGAATCTCCCTTGGAATCTTGACTTGAAAAGTTCTTCTGGCTAAAAATACAACATACATACATATTTACGATTTGATTTCATTTTCATGTTTCTCTCGGGACAACATTTTTAGGGTGCCCCCCCCCCCCCCCCCCCCCCCCCCCCCCCCTGTCGGTCATAAGTCAATAGTTGGCGACGTTTTAATGGGGCTCCTTGATCGTCGTGTAAGTCCATTTTCAGCGCTAATGAAATATTATGAATGATGTAGACGCCGCCCCCCGCCCGATCTCCCTAGAAATTAAATCAAAATATATATAATTCATGTGGGGTTTACGACTTGTCCGGCATGTCCCTATGCCTCCTCCCGAATAATTGGTGTTGCATTTGCACGTTTTATGACCCTCCTCACATTTTTAATGTACAAACAACTTTTATGGTCGCTGGTCCGTCCGGTAATGTTTTATTAATTGAATTTAGAGAACAGGGTCCCGCAATTCCACATAGATTCATCACGAAATAAAGAAATGAAAGAAAGTTTTTCAAGTTGTGAATCATTCTATGAATGATGCCACTTTATGGCACGATATCGTGACATCAATCTTGTGGCACGCGGCATGCTGTCTCTGTCTCGGTCTCTGTTTCCGTCTGCTTTTCTATTTCCCATCTCCCTCACTTCATGTGTTCTTAATCAAGTATGAAGCAAAGAGTCTTAGATGAATGCATTTCCACGGAAAAGATGGAATCATTCACTCGTGAGCGATACCACCGGTCCACTAGCAACACATTCGCCTTTCGCTTAGGGGAATATTTAGGGAAAATTCACATCCCGAAAATGTATTTCAAATGCTTTCTATCTTACAAAAACAATTTAATAAATAATTAATAAAAAAAAACATAATTAAGAAAATGTAATACATAAAATTTAAAATTAACAAAATGTTATAAAAAAAATTTAAATTAATATAATGTTATAAAAAAAATTAAAACACCACAGGAAAAAGCAAAAATTGAAACAGTTCAAATGAAAAAACTAAAAATGTCACCAAAATATTTAATAATAATAAAATAAAATATTAATTAAATAAAAAAAGTAATATATTATTAATTAAATAAAATAAAATATTAATTTAAAAAAAATAATAATACAAAAAATTAAAATTAGACAAAATTAATAAATGGGAATATAAATTCACACATTAATTAATTTTGTATTAAAAATAAATGCAAATTGGAATGTGGGACTCCATTTAGTGGAAGTTTTTGCATGGAAAATACACAAAAATCTGCTCAAAGAAGCGGAAACAGAAATGAATTTTGCTCATGTTACGAATTTGTTGATGAAGATAAATGTTTTCCGCTAAGATCTAAGATCACGCACGAAATAAATGTCACTTTGAGGCCATTATAAATTTGTCTCTTAATCAAAACTATTTCCCACCTACTTAAATGGACCCGAAGATGAATTTTGGGGGTGCCCGAAAGGTGCCTGAATAAAGATTTTGATTTCGATTTGAATGGGTTTTTATTTTTGCAATCACCCGGAAACGGCAGGCGAATTTATGGCTCTTCTTGTGGCATGTAGCATGTAGCTGTTGGGTTGTCGGTGGTTTTGTGTGGCGTGTATAAACAATGCAACAACTTGTATATTTTTAGTGGCATAATTATGGCCCAGATTTATGGCCAAGAGCCGACAGCCATACTCTGCTGGGGGGAATGGAAAACCATAATATTTTGGCTAATCTGAACGGGATGGCAAGATTAATGTGGCTAACACAAAGTGGCTAATGTCTGGCTGGGGATGGCTTTTTTTTTATTTTAATTTTTTCATTTTTGAACCCATTTAACAAATCAAAGAGGCGGCCGCTTGAAATACAAATAATAATATGCCATATGTTTTATGAGATGTGGGAAATTGGCATGGAGATGGTACAGTGCGGTTGATAGCGAGAAGATAGAGAAGGTCGTATATATTTAAAAATATATTGGTTTATATGTATTCCCAATTGGGTCTTATTCGATATGTTGTCATTATCAGAACTAAATAAAGCTATAAGAGCGTAAGCTACAGCGAATAGTGTACAGCGATTAAGATACATCGAGTAAGATACAGCGATAAAGATACAGCGAGTAGGATACAGCGAGCTAGATGTAGAGTATAAGCGTATAAGATACACGTTTTGCACAGAAAAGTAGACACAGCTACAGCGATTGATGCAGATAAAAGCGATTAAGTAACGAGTAATATACAGCGAGTAAGCTACAAAAAGTAATATACCCGAATACGCTAAAATAAGTTCTCCACAACGAATTTTCTACAACGAGTTCTCTACAACGAGTTCTCTACAACGAGTTCTCTACAACGAGTTCTCTACAACGAGTTCTCTACAACGAGTTCTCTACAACGAGTTCTCTACAACGAGTTCTCTACAACGAGTTCTCTGCAACGAGTTATCTACAACGAGTTCTCTACAAACGAGTTCTCTACAATGAGGTCTCTACAATGAGTTCTCTACAACGAGTTCTCTACAACGAGTTCTCTACAACGAGTAAATAACTTTGAGTAAGCTACAGCGTTTACCCTAGAGCGAGTAAGCGAAGAGACTAAACTTAACCCACAGCAAGGAAATTACGGGCGATTACAACGATTACTGCAGCGAGTAAGCAACAAGGCGTAGGTGACAACCGGCGAGTAAACTACACAGCGATTACTCTGCAACGAGTGACCTACAACGAAATACACTACAACGAGTACTCTAACGGGGTAACTATTTCACTGATCGGTTGTTAACCTTTTTATGGAATAAAGCTACTATAATACGATATAGAATCGGTCAATCATCCTGGTCAAATCCTAAAATACAATTATTCCTTCCTATAAAATCCTATCCGTTGCTAAGGAAACGTATCTCTTCATCCGTATATATGTACATGCATATTTTAGGAACGCACTGTAAAGATACACATCAAGATACAACAAGATGCAGACAACCGCATCATAGATACAATAAAATATATTTAATACTTAATATTTTAGTCGCATGTTATTTGTCCACTTGATCTCTCTCACACACTTGTTGCTCATAAAAATGCCTTTTAAATAGCTCTCACGGATATCTAAACATTTCGTTTGTGCCACCCCCCACCCCCTTGCTTGCCACCGCTCGGGCAGGCAGCCTTCTGGTCCGTTCTTTTTGTTCTTTTCCTTGCGTGGGCCGAGTGTTGGGGGGCTGTTCGCTTCGGTTGGAGCGTGGCCAAGTTATGCACTTCTTGACGCCGAAAACCAAAAATAAATCTTGCGTAAAAAACGAAACAAAACAAAGCAAAATCGAGAATAGAGAATCGAGCATGGGATAGAGATACTGTATCTGGAAAGAGCTTAATTAATTTACGTGAAATTTTGATGATGTATTAAACGGCGTGGAACCGTGTATTCGGATGCATGTCTGGGCCATCAATTAGCCAATATTTGAGCGGCAAATAATTCAAGATATTTTCTGACAGGCGGAATGAGGCCCCAGAATGAGGCGCCACTCCCTCCCTCTCTGGGCATGAAGCCTTGTCCATTTAGCCTTTGAAAGGCTCACGTTGACCCACTGCAGGGGGTGTCTCCCCCCCTCTCTGTGGTCTGTCTGTGTGGCAATTTGTATGCAAGACTTGTGTGCCTGCCTCCTTTTACTGCAGCACGTTGGAGTCTTGCTGGCTAA